AGGGAAGCAAGAAGAAAAAATAGCATCCTCAGGAAAGTGCTGTTGGTGAGAAATCGTTAAATGTTGCTTTCTAAAACTCGAAATCACCTCCTGAAATATATTTCCTACAATTTCTCCGAGAGATAACTTCCTCTATTTGTTTGAATAAATAATATCACATTTTGTGACGAATACTATGTTTTTGAAACACTGCTGGTTGTTATGGTAACCTGATTGTGTGTGATAAAAAGAATGCATATCGTTTCACTGGGTGGTTCTATGAGTTCGAGCAGAAGGTTGAAGCTTTCTCCAAGTACTCAGGCTTTGCTGAATAACCCTGGCACCATTTTGTTCTGTTTTCCCACAGCATTCCTGAAGACAGGCTTTATCACTCTAGACTCCTTGGTATCTTGAAAGGTGAAGGAAGAAATAGAAAAGGTGGAGCAAACATCAGACCAGAAACAGAAACCCTGCTCTCCCAGTTTAACAGAGCAACTGGGAGGGAGGAGGCAGAAGGGAGAGCAGGTTTTCTGTGGTAACTGGAGTGGAGGTAACAGTGCCCTGTAGCAGAGGCCTGACTTCCCAGCCTGGTTCAGATCCTCGCTCTGTGACCTTAAACAAGTTTCTCAGTGTTTCTGAGACTGGCTTTCTCCAAAACTGTGAAAATAATTGCAAGTTCCTTTCTCTAGTCCTAATCATCTAGTCCTAACAGGATTAGTAGGATCCTACTGAGACCTTTTAAAATTTTGATACAAAGACTCTTCCTCCCACTTGATGAATGAAAAAGATCTGGGTCTGAAGCACCTCAATCTGCATTTTTCCCAAATATCCCATTTCATATTGCATGCAGTAAATGTAAGAACTGTAACAGTATAACCATGCAAGCAGATTTCTAATAAAAGGCTGAGATTTTCAGTAAGAATCACAAAATCCTTGCATATATAGACCAGAGTGGGTCGACTTCTAAGAAAGTTGTTAGCACGACCCATTAGCCCCTGCCACCCTGAGCTTTAATCTTATGCGTGACCACAGCCGGGCACAGTAGATTGTGTTAGTACTGGAACAGCAGCCACAATGTCACATTGTTGTCACTGAGAAACTTGTGGGGAAAGGCCTCTACTATATGTTTACTCACAGTCATTAAAAATATAAAATTTCCTGCAATAGCATAGTCAGATCAGATATAGTGTTTTGAGGGTTTGTCTATGTTTTTTATTTTTGGCTGACTCTTTAACTGTGAACCTATAAACCCCTATCATCCTGTAATCAAAGAAGCATAGAAGAAGAAAGAACTGTTCCTCCCTCTCCATCAACATGGTGTGTCATCTGTCTCATCTGAATAGAGAAGATTCTCCTGTGATGAGAAAAAAAAAAGTATAAAGTAAAACAAGGCCTCTAAGAAGCCTGAGTCATGGCTTTGACCAGGTGCATAAGAGAAGTAAGGCAGTAACGATAACTTTCTGGAGAAAGTTATTTTCTTCTTTTTTTAAAACCTCCCAAAACAGTAACTTAAATTTACAAATTCTTAAACTTCTTTACAGGCTTTGCTGTCATTAACAGCACAATGATATCAATATTTTGCAAGTTTGGTCCCAGGTAAATTTTGTGTCCATCCTGCAGACAGAAGATGTATCAGAGTCAGTATAAAAATATGATCAGTTTTATCAACAATTCAGACTCCAAAAAGAGAAGGAAAAATAAGGATGAGAATTTTTCTCCCTTCTCACCTCAAACGTGTGTGTGTGTGTGTGTGTGTGTGTGTGTGTGTGTGTGTGAAGATGGGAAGACTGGATTGACATAGAATGTGTGGAGCAGGGTAACCAACTAGAGCTCACATTCCAGTGTCCTAAAGTGTTGACCCAAGTGACAAGTTGACCTCACACAGTTTTGCTAGTCAGAGGGAAAAGTACGAGCAGATTGAGACCACCTTAAAAAACAATGCAAGGTTTTGCATAAAAGACGTTTGTCCTTCCCATAGTCCCAGATTTCCTAGCTCTCCAACTCTTCAGAATATTTATTTGAGCATCTGCTGAATGTCTAAAACCATGAAATTTCTGTCTTGGACAAGTTCCCACTCAAGCTAGAGAGAAAAGACATGCACATTTGAAATTAGACATGAAACCAAGTACAGTTGTGAAACAGAAGGGGAGAAATCCACATGGGCTTGGAGTATCAGTAAATATGATGGAGGAGGCGGAATTTTAGATGAATCTTCATGAATATGAAAATAAGATAAAGATAGGTGGGGATGATGAATAGGAAAACAGAAAATAGTAGAAATAAAGGTACTGGCCTGGGAAAAGGGAGATGAGCAGCAGGTGCTGATATCAATCACAGTTGCACCTGATGCATATAGCCACAGACAGCTCTGTCCTCCACTCATCATCTGCATTTCTGTTTAAGACAGGCGGTTCCAGAGAGGAGGATATACTACCAGGCTTTTCCGTCATGGTGGATGGAACCTCATTTAGATGAGTGGAAGCTTTAGGCTCCCTCAGGGCCCTAATCACAGAGATAGAAATAGTGATGAAGACCATTGGCCCTGTGACAGGGCAATGCATCTCTCTTATAAACAAAACTGTGACTAGAAGAAGCTTTCATCTGGTGCTCAGATGCCTTATGATCATTTTCTCTTCTTTCAGTGGAACTCCAGGTTGAAATCTTTCTTGTCTATTTCCTCTCGCAAAGAGGAACCTCTTTTGAGCTAAGAGGTACTTTATTTATTGAGATTGAATGAATAGGACAATTATTCCTTCCATGAACAGCTTAGGGTAAGATCAGAGGAGATTTGAAGCTTATGTAAAGCAGTTCATTATCTAAAGGTGTCTGAAAAGCAACTTCAAGCTCCCTTTCTAAAGACTTCTCTGGCATTTGGATTGGCCATCAATATGGAAGAGAATTGTCCCTCGAAAGACATTTGGAAGAGTATAAATGGTACTATACTATCCCCTGGGGCTTCCTAATTGTGTGTTTCTTCATGGTTTCCAACCAAAGGCTGAAAGCAAAAAGGTATAGTATTGCTCTCAATCTTCCTCTACTTAGCTAGTTTCCCTTACCACATTTTGAAACACCTGTCCACTTTTATTTAACAAACTCTATGGAATGCTCATAGGTGCTGTCTCATTTGTTTGTTAGCACTTGCTGGACAAAAGAGAGAGTCACTTATGGAGAATTTCTCAAAACTTGATATAGGTATAAAAAGCACTGGAGAACTTGTTGAAGAACAACCTTCTAAGTACCATGGCCCAAGGATTGTGACTCAGTACATCTGAGGTTAAAATAAACACTCAAATCAGTGTTTTTATAAGTGACCCAGTTGTCTTGAGTTACAGATGGTCCCTGTCCACACTAAGAATCATTGCATAAGACAAATAACAGGATGTTAGGGTCAAGAATAAGAAACTTGGAGTGGAAACCAAGCAGGCTGAGACAACACGTTGATTAACCAACAGTCACAGAGGGTTCAGTGGGCCAGGCCTATGTCTGCCAACTGATAGCAATACAGTATCACAGGTTTGTTTTCTCACATTTGTGGAATAATCCATTTGGCAGCTGCAAGGGAAAGTTCCATGCACAGAAGCAGATCACAATGCCTGCAGGAGCATAGTTGCCAACATTGGAGTTGCTATGGCAACTGTAATCATTGCACAGGTTAAGCTGAGAAAGAGGGGAAGAACCAGTGCAAGAGAGAATGCTGTGTGTTTTATATAGGATTGCACTGTTTTATCGCCCAAATGGCTGTGAAGAAATCAGAAGGACAGAGGATGAGTTCCAAGAATGGCTTGCAAATAAAGGACTGGTGGACAGCTCATTCATGTAGCATTATTTTCCCTTTTGAGTGTTTCTAGTATTTCTAATATTGGAGACTCCACTCACTGCTGAATGAATCAAGCAAAAATAAATCAAACATAGCACTCGAATATAAGGCAGATAAATACAATGCTGGAAAACAATCACCACAGATTTTTATTTAATTAAAAATATTATACATGTTGCTGCATTTTCATGGAAAATATTGAGTTAATAAAATACCAACAATGTTGGTTTTCAGAGAGCTTCACGTACCCCATTCTACCAACTTCTGTTTTTTTTTTAATTCTGTACATGGCATTAACCATATAAGAAATTGGAACATCCTTGAAATTCATACCTACAGGACTCCTGGAAGGAGCCATTTCCTCAGTGGTGGTGTCATATCAAGTTAACTCACATACCACCAGTTTTGACTTCCTTGCAAATCATTGAAAGGACCTGGCATAAAAGCCCAAAGCACATGTCAACACCAGTTCAGCCCAACATATCTGCAAGAATCTATCCTCACTTCGTCTAATTTCTAAGCCAGTTAACAAGTGATCCTGTATTGTACCTGGTGTATTAGTGTCCTCAGCCCTTCTGCAAAACTTCCCTTAAACCTCCAGTGGGAAGACACTGCCATATAGTGTTTATATTCAAACCATCAGCAAACACACAAAAGCACATCCACAATATTATCAAATAAAAAATACATATTGGTTATAATACAACCTTTGGAATCTCTGGCTGGAACATAGTCAGGTCAGGTTCTTTTTAAGTCTTCATGTAATTATCCATGTGTTAAGAAAAATTACATGATATTAAAATTTGACTTGAAAACATCATTTCAGCTACAGATTTCTCATATAAATACAAGGTGTATACAATATCATTCTCTCCTTCACTCTCCTCCTAGACTGTTTTTACACTCTTCTATTCCCTAACTTAGTTCCTTGATCTCACATCACCATGTTGTACCCCCCCCCCAATTGCACCCAAGTGACACTTTTAGTAAATTAGATCAGATGTGAATAGGAACATCCCAGTTCTGCTTTTCCTGCTCCTTTAAATTATAGTACAATAATTTGGGTTCTGCAACCAACTTAATATTAAAGAGCAATGAATCCTCCCAAAATACACAAACAAACAAAAATGGCTGGATAGCAAAAGTAAGAATTGCCTCCACTCTTTAGAATTGGAAAATGGTCTTTCTTCTTCATAATGGTCTCTCAATTGATGGGAATGAAGTAAGGCTGAAATTGCTTTTCACATTCTGGCTCTGTTGGGGGCATTTTCACATAGACCCCTGTAGTAAGAAGGCTCCTTTTCTTTAGCTGCCAAACACAAAAAGAAACAATTATTGTTGAAGAATACAGAAATCACAATAATAATAGAACCCAACAATGGTGAGTACTGACCCCACTAGAAAATGTTCACAATATACAGAATTATAAGCACCAGGGTGTTTTCTTGATTCTGCTATTAAAATTCACTTTAGATAAATAACTGTGCTATTGATGTAAAATTGCAACCATTTCCCCTTGAATTGGAAGTAGGAGAAAGAGACTTTGAGAGAACACAAAGAACATCCAAAATGCTGGGATCTTGTCTATGAGAGGTTGAGCTTTATAAGACTTTAGTTATTATTATAATAGACTTTAGTTATTCTGCTTGAGAGCTGTATTTCTCATCTCCACTCATCACATGCTTTTTATTACTTTTTTTTCTATTGCATTAGTTGCCACCTAGGTAAATTGAGGTCTAATCTGTTAGCCTGTGTAGCAATTTGTAGCAAATGAGGTAGGAAGAAGTTACAGCAAAAAATATATAGAGATAGATGCTGAGTCCAGGATCTTGAAATAGAAATCAAGGGAGAGATGGAAGGAAGGAGGGAGAGAAAAGGGAGAAGTTTGTGATGACAAACTGGTAACAGGTATCTGAGAGGGACTGTCAGAACAAATTCTGACAGGACATCTGATTCTATACTGTCATCTCTTCTGCTACCAACTTTAATAAATAAAAACCGGGGTTTTCATTAACGGGGCTGGAGGAGAGAACAAGACTTCCCATTGAGCAGATTGGGATAACAAGAAGCCCAGGTCACATACAAGTTGGTCATAAAAGGTACAAGTAGGGTGGCCACAAGCCACATGGTCTCCAACAGAACTTTGCCCAATCTAATCTTGTATTTCATGTGCAGTTGTCATGAGGATAAAGAGCAAAACAGCTGCCCCATGTTGTTCAAACAGTTACTCAAACTGAAACCCTGTTCAGGAGCACACAAACATTCAATGTCAAACACACTCATCTAAAATATTAGTCATCCTGAAACCTCCAAAGACCAATGCCAAGGGTTTCAGTGTGTTTGTTACCACTGCCCTTCCTCATCCTCACTTATTGCTTCATCTCAAGAAAACTAAATGCAACAGCATCATTTGGTCAGTTGTTATGACTAAATTTATCCCTGCCAAAAATGGTATGTTTTCAGCATCATACTCACCATTTTGCTCAAAGAAACAGCTGTGATGAGGAAGCTGTAAAAAAACAACCCTGAACTAACTGCTGCAAGGATCCAGAGTTGAAAATCAGAATCTGGGCATGGTTCTGGATCTGCAACAAAAAGCATAGTAGAACTTTCAGCCCTACTTGCCCCATTGATGAAAATAGAAAGAGATTTGAGCTTCTAACCCCATCGACCCCTAAATAATATAGAGACACCCATAAATAAATTGGTTTATTAAAGGTCTACCTTCCCAGAAGTGTCCTGTGAGAGGCACAGGCCAAATTTCATGATACTTAATCACCTTTCCTGACCCATTTGATCTTATATGTGTGCTATCTGGTTTAACACCCATACTAAACAAGACTACTGTGTGGTATTCCAAAGAATTTGTACAGAGAATTTTCACAACCCTAAAGATAAGCCACCTGGAATTAGGAGCAAAATATTTTCATACCAAAAAAAAAAAAAATTACTGCCAAAGATGTCAATTTAGTGATTTGACTTTGCTCACCAATGACATAAATCTGGGTTCCATCGCCCATGCCTGCATAGTAGGGTGGGGGGTACATGAGCTCCACCTTGCAGAAGTAGAGTCCTGTGTCTGTGGCTCTCAGCCCGTGGATGGTCAGGTTGACTTTGCTTCCACTAGAGGTACCAACGCAAGAGGAATCATCTAAGAAATTCAACTCGTCCTCAACCATGTATGTTGCAGCACAGATTTCAGTCATCTGACTGTCTTCCAGACGCAGCACTGTCACCCGGACCTCATCAGCTTTGCCCGAAGAGCCATACTCACACACGAAGCTGGCAACACCCCGGCTGTTGGCCAGGACCACTGCAGGTTGGGTCACATGCATCTCTAAATTGGGAAACCCAAAGGAAGCACAGTAAATGTATGCTCACCCCAATCAAGCCCAGGCATAACTTGAGCCAGGAAAGGCTTACATTCTGAGGCCCCTCCAGTTACAGCTTTCTACCCTTCATCAGACCCATTCACCCTCCCTTTCCCCTTTATCTCTCCCCCACCCCAGATTCCCCTTCATCCCTCAGCTGTTTTCTTACTCTCCATAAAGGTATCTCCCTATTGGAAAAATAGTTTATTAAGGCAGTTGGTATGACAGGAAAAACATTGGTGTTGGAAAGAGAAGACATGGTTCTACTGTGACATTTGCAATTTCAGACACATCCTACCTCCACACAAAATCCCTTCATTTTCCCTCATATGTAGTAAGAGCTTATGATAGCAAGGTGCCTTCCAGCTTCAGTATTCTAAGGTTGTAATAGAATGGTATAAATTGTATATAATTTAGGAGCAATAATGAGTAGTAAAGTTCATTTTGGAGGCTGAGATACAGAATCTCATATTATCACTCAAAGCATATCTTGAAAACCTCTGCCTATATTCAGCTGGCCCCGTACCTCTGTCACCCATGAGTCGTTATATCTGGGCTCACTCTTCTGACCACCCCCTTTCCCTAGTATTACTACTGTAGAGTAAGGGATGTGCTAGATAAAGGAAGCCACAGATCAAGGGCACCAGGTCGTTTCCTCTCTAGGCTGAGGCAACCCTGGCTGTTAACTTCTGTGGGCTTCCCCAGTCACCGCCACCTCTTCCGCCTCCTCTATCCTTCAGTTGAACACTCTCGTAGTCTTTTGTTCTTTTCCCCTCTGGCTCCTACAGGACTGAAGAGGCCAGTTCTCCACACAAAATAGTTCATATCTAAAATATGATGTTTTAATGTCAAATTTCCTTCCTGCAAATAACTTCTCCAATTAATAACCTAAGTGACACCCCAAACTTGGGTTAAGGCACACCATTCATTCTGCCCAAACCCATGGATGGCCTTACATACAATTGATTGCAAAAACAATAAATGTCAGTGTTTTTCATGATCTAATCTTAACCTATCACCCCAGTTTAAGTTTCCAGGACAGCTGTTCCTATATATTGACGCACTAGTACTTTTCTCCCAAACTCCAGTGCTGAACAATTATCTGTCCTCAGAAGAGCAAATGCTATAGTAGCTGTCACTGCCATCATTAATCCACAGCACTACCTAGTTAGACAACAGTCTCCTTCCGCAAAACTCATGTCTGCCTACTAGAGATACCCTCCAAGCATCTTTGGCACTATTATAACTCCGTTGCTATAGTTAATCAAAATCTGCTCTGTATTAAAGTTTTCATGTACTCATCATATAAACTCAATCTTTGCCTTTGGCTTATAAACTCCTGGAAGAAGCCATTACATTCTGATCAAGTGGGCATTCAATAATCCTTGCTGTATAGCTCTTAAAAAGAAAACCAAGTTTTCTACCTTCCTCCAGACAAGCTCCCACTTACCACCACTAAATCTGGTCATACTTGATTTCCAGGATCTACCAGGTCCCAGTTACAGATTAAGATAAATTTCTTAAGTAGGAAGTTTTATTGCTTCTAAGCATTTTCAATCTTTACCTGTCCAAAACTGTAAAATAAGGTGTACTTGAATGTTTCTTATCTGGTAAAAATTAAATCATAAATACCTCTTTGAGCATTATTTCAAACAAAACATATGTTTTCTTAACTGAAACAATCTAGAGAGAGATTAAGTGGAAGTACAGTGGAAATGTTCACCTTTTTAAGCTATATTAACAAACCTAGCATCAACCTCTGAGAAAGTCTTCACCAGAAAACTGGGGAATTTGCATCTGAAGTCCACAGGCAGTAGGTCACACAGCAGGAGCAGCTAATCATAATTAATAGCATCCTTTCTTTGCACTTCCTTCCTTCCTTTCGTTTTTTTTTCACAGTGCTTTCATTTTTCAAAATAATTAGTTAATTAAATTATAAAATTGATTAAGATGACCTTTAAAACTTTGAATTGCATAAAGAAGGCATTCTTCCCATTATTTGCTTAGATTTTAAACAACCTGTCTGTTTAGCTTAAAAAAGAATTAGAGAACCTTAAACCTTGAATTGGGAAGAAACTTCTACTCATTTGCTTAAGTCATTATTTTTTAAAAAGAAATTTTGAGCTTGTCCTAATTCCAAATTCAAATGTATTAAGGACTGTGGATATCTTTTTCCTCTTAAATCTCATAACTTTACAATATTTTCTTCCTATCTTATAGAAATGTCAGAAATTGTTTGATCTCCCAAACTAATTCAGATATATTCTTTAAGTCCCTAAGAGCTGGCACAGCTGGGAACCATATCCCGCTTCTTCACTACTACCAACTGTCCCCTGCAGATCTTGGAGTCCAGAGCCATCTAAATCAAACACTTGGAGTTTTTATTTAGCTTCTGGCTTTGTTATAAATCACTGTCCTTTACTGCTAAAAGAAATGAAACCCTGGTGGGAAAAAAACCTCCTCCACCCTCCTTCTCCAAAAGCCTCACTCACCTTTGGAGAAGACAGGGATGAAGAGAAGAGAAAATAAGGCAGTGCAAGGCCAGGTCCCAGAAGGCAGGTCCAGCCAAGCTCCGGGCCTCTGGAATCCAAAGTGAGGCATGACTTTATGGGAGCCGTGTTCAGGTCTTCAGGAAGCAGAGTGAAACCTTTCAGGATCCTAACGCTTTGAAATGTGTTTGAACCCACACAGAATTAGGACTTTATATAGCTGACTTTGATCCCAGATACACATGTGCATGCACAGAAGGTACCTGAATAGAAGCCTTTTTGTTTTGGTTTTACGAGAAAGGAAGTCGTGGGTTTAGCTGTTACGTCGAAAAGATAACCTCAAACACTCAAAGTAAAACTTAGCAAAACAAGCCAATCCATGGATGGAAAATGCATTCAATTTGAAACTGAAGCTTTTTGTTCACTTTAAGGATATGTGGAGAGAGGATTTCCTGGAGTGCAGGAGTACTGAGTCCCAATTTTATCCAGTCGTTTGGGCATCTTTTGCTACTCAGTTCATTTCATTGACACCCCCAAAACTGCTAAGTGCCAGCTCTCTGAGCCTTTGAGCTAATTACAGTAGTCTTTGGACATCATTAGGAAAAGCTGGACATTCAGCCTGTGAACCAGCATTCCCTAGCATACTATCCAAATAAGTCATTTTTCCATTTCATGTAATAACTTGTTAAGAGAAAATACCAAAGTCGCAAGAAATAAACTAATCTTCCTTTGTTTTTACAGACAAGAGGCAAATTTAGGTGCTGCAGAAACCTTCAAAAAGACAGTTAAAGGAGAGCCAAAAAAAAAAAAATGAACCAAAATGATCCAAGAGTTTAAAATCTTCTATAATTTTCAAGCATAAAATAAAAGAACTAAGATTATATATGACTGAAGTTCTTAACTTTAATGAAAGTTTTAAAGAGGACAACTACTACTCTAACAAGAGAACACCAAGTGTTAGGAACCATTCCTTAAAACCAGGGTATTTTCATGCATTTCATACATTTGAATGATGAAAGAAGCATTTATTGAGAGCCTATGATATGCCAGAAAATGTGTGCACTTAGGAGTGAATAATGACAAGACAGAAATATAGTTATTGTTCTAAGGGGCTTCTGGATGACATGCAGATAGACACAGTATGGAATATAGCATTTGCTTATGCCAGCCCTCATGGATACCCATTGTCTATACACCTCAGCACAGAAGAGAAGTTTCTGTAGACCAGGACCTGATACCTCTCTGTTAAGCCTTTTCCCCAGCACTCCCTCATAAACCCTGTACCCCTGCTTATTAGTGTCAATCCCTCCAACAAAACTTACCTAATCTGTTCTTTCTGTACTCCCTTGACTAGCCTTTCATATCCCCACACAAAGCAATAACCTAAGTGACCCTTTCTAGGGGCAGATCTCACCCTAGGCAAGGGAGACATGAAAGTGGAAAATGTTATGTGCCTGCCCTTCAAATGAAGCTAAGACAGTGGCAGAAGTTGGTAGCTAAGCCCCTGATCATGATAGACTGGATAAATGCTGAAATCAAAATATTGCGTAAGCCATTTGTTCAAATTATGGAAATCCAAAAAAGCTTCTCAGAAAAAGTAAGACTTTAGTTTCTTACGGAGAATTCCTCATCAGCAAGGGGTGAGTTTTTGAGAAGAAATTATAACATCTGTCAAGACTGAAAGTAATCTTTCTGGTCAGCAGCCAAGGCTAGTTCCACTGAGCAGTATGTGGAGGCTGCTGTCATAGCTGTGAGGATCACTGAACTACTAGAAACAAATTTATATAACTGAGTTCATTTTTGAGGGAAACATAGGGTAAGATGGATGGGTTTAAGGAAAAATAAGATTTAACCAGGAAGACCAAGGAGACTATTGCAATACCCCTGGCAGACTTTTTCTGCAAAGTATCAAAAAGTAAATATATCAAGCTTAATAAACCTTATGATCTCTGTTGCCACTACTCTGCTGAATAGGGTAAAGTCAGCCATAGAAAATATGTAAATGAATGGGCATGGCTAAATTTTCATATAACATTATTTCCAAACAACTAGAGGCTGGCTTTGCCCTCCTTGATGCTTAGCCAACCCCTGCTCTAAAATAAACTAATGACGGTGGTATAAACAAGGTCCCTAGGGAGCTAATCCATAAGCAGTAAGTAAGTGAGTGGATAGAGAAGTTTGGATTAGCTCTGGATTTATGACTTGGGAGATACTATTTTCCTCTTAGAAATTATTCAAGTATTTAAGTTTTCTCTCATTCAAATGTCAACACAACCATGTAAGGCAGGGCTTATTTTTATAGTTTTATAAAAGAGGATACTAAGGACCTGAGATTTCAAGCAATTTATACAGTCCCTCACATTTAATGATAGATTTTGAGGTTAATCATGCTCTTGACCACTGCACTAAAGAAGAAGATTGGCTTCTTGCTGATCTGAGCTAAAAGTGCAGACTCCTCTGGAAAACAGTGTCTATTTCTCAAGACTATTACACAGATTCAATTACATAATGCATGTAGCATGTATAAGACTTCTGGTAGTTGGTCACCTAGTAAATAGGTGTCCTTTTTATTATAGGGTCACTGAGAAGAAAAGTGTGATTTACTGGCACAGAGAACCCGAGAAAAGAGTGACAGGACAGGAAGACAATGCCTTTTTGGGGGGGCATGTTGAATTTCAGGTGTCCAGAGACATTAAGGTGGAAACACTTGAAAGCAATTTCCAGTACAAATCTGACATTCCAGGCAAACATAAGGACACTGATGAAATTTTCACAAGGCCAGTGCACACAGTGAGCATTCTACACTAAATGATTCAATAAATGAATGAAAATAATTTGACATAAGTGAAATGTGAAGTCTATAATAGGAACTTTCAAAGTAGCCTCACCAGGTTCCTTTTGTATGTTTTCATGAAACTGTTTCTGCTACAGCAAGAAAATTCAATGGCTGTGAAAAATTGCTATGTGAAAGTTGGTGAAAAAAATATATTCACGTGGATCGGCTGATAGACTACTTGAAAGTTACAAAGGGGAAAAGATAACAGATAAATTTAGCAGATACTGCCCTAACTAAGTTTTGAAACGGAAGATCACCCGTGATGGGACATTCTGACATCTTGTGCCTCCAGACACAGTACACTGAGAAGAACATCTCGCCTTTGTATATCATTGCCAAATTGTTTAAATTAATCTAATCATGAAAAAAAATTAGACAAATCCACATTCTGCAAAATAACTGGCCTATAATTGATTCCTCAAACCATTAATACCATGAAATACTAAAAACTAAAAAGTCTAGTAAACTGTTATTTTTTATCAAAGTAGATTAAGGAACCATAATAATAAGATCTAATGTGTAAAACCCTGATTGAAAAAAATAAACTTTATGGTACTATTTTTGAAAACTCTGAAGCCCATTATTGTGACACGTAGGGAAATTTGATTATAGATAAAATTTGACCATAGTATTGTGTTAATTTTAACTTTCTCAGTGTGATCATTGTATTGGGATTTTTATAAAGAGAAACATTCTTATTTTTAGGTGATATTTGCTTAAAGACTAAATAATGAAGTCTCAAAATATCAGTAAAATACGATCAAATGGTTTTGCAAAACAGGTATGTATATTTGCATTCAGAGAAAAAAATATAGTATTAACAAGAATATTAATAACTGATGAGTCTAGGTGAAAATTGCAAGGTGAACTATTAATATGGCAGACATTATGCCACAGATAAGCAAGCTGAACTTTAGAGAGGAAGTGACTGACCTGTGGAATCTTCTCCATCTACCTACCTCTCACATCCATTCTCTACCTGGAGGATAGAACCCATGAACAACTTGGTCCCCTAACAAGTTGGCTTCTAGAAGAGTTCAGCTGATGGCAATCACCAGCAGAAGATCAAGCTGAGGATAAAAGTCAGGAAATTTCTTTCCTCTCCCAGATTAAGGCTCTGACTCTCATAGTAACAGTTGTTCTGTACAACTACAGCTCTTGAAAGGTGACCACCGCTCTGCAGTGTCAGCTTTCACTACTTGTTCTGGTCTTTCAGTCCTTCATTAGTGTCTGAGAGCACTTACGTCCTCTGCCCTTTATACCCCTTAACACCTCTTAAAATCATCCTCTAATTGTCTCTTCTTTGAAGCACCCATTTTCGATAGTCTCTGATTGATCCATCTTCTAAGTAAAAAAAAAAAAAAAATTAACTTATATCCTAGTCTCATTTCCATTTAGTTCTGCTAGCACCACCAAATAGCTCATGCTATCTCATGTGCAATAATAAACATGTTGTGAGCCATGGGTTGTATTTACTACAATCAATTATGAGCATTTTTGTCTTCCTTATTTCAAATTCAATTTTCACAACCCCACACTCTCACACAGCATCTAAGTAGTGCCTCCTTTGTATACAGGAGCATATGAAGAATTTCTGTATTGCAGTTTAGGTCTCAACCTTTTTCATTTCCCTCATATCTTGTTTCCAGCTCCTGGAAAGTGCTATAAAATAAGGATTCAGTCAAGGGACTGATAGGCACTAATCAGTCTAGCACAGTGATTTGGAGAATAGCTGGAGATAAACAGACATGAGTCCAAGTCCTGGCTCTACTATTAACTGGAAGTATGATCTAGAATGAGGCTTTTTAACTTCTCTGGCCTCAGCTTCCTCATCTATAAAATATGTTTAATTATGGTAACTACCTAATAGGGTTACTATAATGATTCAAAAAGACTATGCCGTAAGATGTTGAAAACTGTTTCTGGCTCAATAAATATAGCTTAATATTAAATACAGAGAAAGTACAGGTTTCAAGCTGCGACTGTTTTATAAACTTCTTTCACTATCCTCTAGTGAACAAATGTCACATTAGACTAAAATCAGCTGGTAACTGTTCTGATACACATACATTTGTTATATATTTCTTTGCCTGTCATGTTTCTATCAGTATTTGGAACCAAAAAGCTATTTGTTACCTGATAAAATGTAAAAACCTCCTAACTCTAGACATAATATAAGGATTATGTATTGGGTGCTCTCAATTATTCAGTGGTTGAATACTCAAATATCCAAGGTACCACATTCATGGATATTTTCATTTCAGGAAGAAGAGATT